CCTCACTTTCTTTTCTTCCTTTAGTAACAATACAGTCCAAAACACTCTCTTTGTTTTTGCAAATGTTTGTTCACTAAAATGTTCCAAAGGGAAAAATGTCAGCTACAAATCCTCACTCATCATGTATTTGCACAGCAATGCTTAAAGGTCCTTAAAGATCTCCAAGGACTTGAAGGAAATAATTCAGTGAGGTAGCAGAAACAGAGCCACTGCCTTCCAGTGTCTGGTTACATGGCTCATGCAGCATAGGACAACTTCAGGCAAGTCACAGTGAACTGATTTCACAGACCATGCATAGAAAAATATGTTCCACTAACCAAATGTATGAAAGTCTGTTTGAAGCTAATACACCAAGGTAAGATAGCTGAAATCCACAAGATGGACTGTGGAAAATGTTTTGCTCACTGAAAGGAATACTTCTCTATTCTGCCTACCTTACAGATGCCCTGCTCCTGTTCTTGCCAAAACCACCACAGTTTCACTCAAGTTCCTTGGTACTTCAGCAAAGTCACACTTTTTTTCATATATGCCAGATGATTCTTTACATACCTGAACAACAGGTGTGTTACAGTCATGTTTTGCGTTATTCATCTTGAATGAAGTTACACTCTGACTGTGTTAACAGGAGAAGCCTGAAGGAACATTTAGATTCCCAGAACATCCTAAAAATTGGGTGATATTTTCCCAACCACATTCTGTCTGTGATGGCCATTTATGCTACAGGCAATGGGAAGGTATCAACAATTACCCTCTGACCAGTTCAGTGTCATGTACTAATTGCTCCCTCCCTCAGATGTATGTTCTGAAGGCAATAGCCATATTTCACACAGGTGACACATCTCTCTTGTTCAAGGATCCTCTATTCCCAGATTTCCCAGTATAACTGCAGACCTGAAGCCCCCGAGCAGCTGCTGTTTGACAGCTGAGACCAACAGGCCATCTCCTTTCATGTGATACCTTGTGCAGACACACATCTGTAATGTGGGGAGGTGTGTGGGGATTGCAGACACCTGGGAAGTCCATGTTCTCCTTTTAGTTTGACACTTGTGATTCATAAAGAGCATTTGGGATAGGCAAATCTGTTTGGAATTGCTGAGATGAAAGAAAAAGGAAGAAGTACTTGTGGATCAGGGGACTCCTGCTGAGAATCCCAACAGTTAATCTTTGGCCCAGAACCACTTTACACAAAAGCTATCTACCTCAACCTAGTTGCTAAAACTCGGTTCTCAGCTTGGAACAGAGCACATAGATCTCTTTGCTCTGTGAGGTCCACCTGTAGCACTGGTGCAGGAATTTCCAGGAACGACAACATTCCATAGAGCTAAATACAGAAATGTCGATGTGTTCTAACTACTGCTGGTACGTTATTTTCTAGTAGGGAATGCTTATCTTTCCACCTCAAAGTAACATTTGACTGCAATATGAAATAACTTTCTGCTTGACAGATTTTACGATTGATCTAGTCCCACTATCCTGGCATCCATTACAACTAGTTTCCACTGTAAGGAAAAGAAAATAAGATTTTTGCAGACAAAAGTAAACAAGGAAGTTTATTTTCTGGAAAGCCTTCTTCACACATTACACATTACTCAGTTTACTTCAATGCTGTGGTTTTGGTTCGGGTTTTTTTGTTAAGTTTACCTAAAATGCATTTACGCTGGAACGGTTCTTAATTACCTTGGCAGAGTAACTTGGCATTCTCCTAAATTTGTGCTTTTTAGCAATGAGACTCTTTCCTGCCGTATCTTTTAATTGTCTGTGCCTGAAAGTTGTCTCAACATTATCACCTTACAAAGTGGATAATCAAGACTTACTTTGATTTACTTGATTTCAGGAATCTCTTCCTTGTTTAAACAATTACTTGTCCCATGCTTTTTTTCCCTCTCCTTTCCTTTTCCCTGTAGAGGAATACATTCTTACTGCTAATACACACCATAATTGCAATGTACTGGAGCATGGATATCAGTCTGAAGCCCTGTGAAACCTTGAAAGGTTTCTGAACCAAAGAGAAGGCAACTACGCAGTATCACACTAACAGCCTCTATAAAAGATCTTAATTTAAAGACCCTTTTCTGTGTTATAAATTAGTTTTATTTGTATAACATTTTCTGGTTTCCAAACTTTATAGTCCTATAACTAAGAAAGGTGGTTTAAGAAGGAAAGTCAGACTACCAAATGTCTTAATTCCTCATGAAACTGGAATTTTTAAAGGATGAAAAAAAAAAATCTTAATTTTAAATTCTAGAAGTGATTAACTACAAGCATGAACTTACTAAGCTGCTTGTAACTAACATGCAAAACAGCAGCACTGCAGGTTTTCCTATCCTAGGCACTTTTCTCCCATCGTCCACAGCTGATTCACTACAAATTCAGTGCAATGGTTACAAGTATCTCGATCTGTAGCATACAGATCCATAGCAACACTGAGGATCTCTTATGTTAACTTCTGTGCCCAGAAGCTTTTCTGCAACACTGAATTAAAGAAGCCACTGTATCATTCCTATAACAAGACGATTATCTTAGAATTAAGACCAAGTAGAAAACTCTTTTCAAAGAGTTAGTCTTCCAAAGCCTTTAGAGATCAGACAAAATTACTTATATGGCTTACATCATCAGTTCTCAAAAGTTATATATCTGCACACATCCTGTTCTAAGGAGAAAGGGTAAAGTAACCATTATGTTACACTCTTTATTTATGATTCTATTTTTAATGTGGTTAATCTCCTTGGAATCACTGATTTTTAATGGGGCATTTTGAAAGATTTATTTTATTGCTGTTGCAGTTGAACAAACTAAGAGGACTACAACATCACTTACCAATAATCCATTAATGTCACATCCCAAATTCTTCAGACATGAAGGTGAGAAGTTTTTCCTCCTTATAGTGTCAAAACATATCTGGATGTCTGCTGAGTGAGGGCTTAACGGTTTTAGAGAACTATACTAGTAAAGTCCTAAATCTGTGTGATAATTCTCAGTGAGCAGTCATCTTTCTCGTCTATTTGCGGAAGTCACAGAGGGTATCAGAGGTTCATTCTTTGCAGAGGAACATCTGTCATCCCTGCTATATGTTCCGGATGTGTCAAAGCGTATCAAAGGAGAAAACACACATAGTAGAAATCCAGAGGAGTGAATCCTGGCCCTATCTCACCACTCTACTAGTATGACACACTATTCTAAGCAAGGAAGAGAAGAATAACCTATGAGTTGAGCCATGACTGATGCAGTGCTGCTGGCAGGCCCCCACGGTGTATCTGGATTTCTCCAGTAAGCTGCAAGAGTAATCACAGAATAATACTGCCTCTGTTTCAGAGAGCAGGGAATGAGATTTCTCCAAACCTTCAGCCTTAGAAGAGCTGCTTACACTAAACGTAGGATTTTCCCCTAAGAGATGATATAACAACAAAGATAACTGCTTATTTGGTATCACTGGGAAGCATGTAGACAAAAAGCAGCAACAAGTCATGTCATGTCATTCAGCATGAATGAGTGGACAGGCTAGTTCCAGAAATGGGTTCAACATCCCAATTTTTACTAAAAATGTTGATTGTACTCTATCATCATGATAGAAAATAATCAAATATATTTTCAGCAGGATCTGCATGAGCAGCTTTCAACGTCTATGTACTTGTGCTGATATGATGGTGCACTCCAAGTGACAATATGAAGTTATCCAGACATGCAACAAACTTGCTTTTGGATTTCCCTGAAGGATACAGTCTTGTTGTTCTTTACAATTAATAGTACTTATTGTCTTACCCTAACCTATATTCCTCTTCTGCACACACCATTTATGTGAGTGTGAGAACCATGCAAAAATTAATGACTCAAAGCTTTCAGATGACCATTGCATTCGCATTTCGCTTTCTTCACGCAGCAGAAACATATAACACCACACAAGAAGGGTAAAAACGAAAAAAACCAAAAAAAATAAAAATCCACTGAACCACCATGAAAACTAGGCATAGAACAATCTATTCATCTGGTCTGCATCACACATTAAATTCAATAGAACAATAGGGTCAAATTCCTGGATGAAGAAGAAAATAAAAAAACCTATAGGTTTTTGGAGCACAACATGAAGCATTTTCCTGTCATCTTCAAAAAACACTGCAGTTAGGTTTATTATCTGCCTTTCTACAGCACCAAAAAAAAAGTCTCAAAGAAGATAAATTATTTTAAACCTCAGTTTTAGAAAATTGGGTAGTTAGCAGCTTATCTATCTCTTGATTTGGAAACAGAAAATTGAGAAACAGCACATATGTAATAGCTGTTACTTGTCAACTTGAGACAACTGTTACTATTAGTTAGACAAGTACCCTGTGCACTCCATGGTCATATCAGTGCTGCTATATCCATAAGGTGTTTTGAAACTTGAGAGATTGTTCAACAGTGTATAAATAAGAGTCAGAAAAAAAGGAATGAAGCCTTTTTTTTTTCTCCCTGTTGAACATCAACAATAGTATTCTGCAACAAACCATTATTGGCTCTGACATCTATAGTAAAGGTCTACTAGTGCATAAGGATGAGAAGAAGAAAGGAAGAGAACAAGACAAAACCAGTCAATCAGTGAAGAGCAGGACTAGAATATCAGACATGTTACGGACAGGAGCGTCATGCACTGCCAGACATATTGAGGAAGGCAGTTGTTCACTCTTGCTGTGACTAACTGAGCACAAGATATTAGGATAGTCTGAATACCAGAAGCTCAGTACCAGTACAAAACCGAAACACAGGTAATTTTTTTTAAGTAAGCATAATTATTTTTTTTGTTGTGAAAAGGTTTTGGAACTAAAAAATGAAATATGCAAACACTGTAAGAATCAATAATTTCTTGGTATACAGAAATAAAACATCCATAAAATCATAGAATCATAGAATATGGTGAGTTGGAAGGGACCTATCAGGATCATCAAGTCCAGTTCCTGGCCCTGCACAGGACGCCCCAAGAATCACTTATATTCTGACCACAGGAAAGAGGTATTAAAAGTTTTACTTACTTTGGATGGGCAAATTCATCCACTAGGACAACTTTTTCTATCAAGTCTCCACCAACAGTTCGAACCAAATCATAGAAATCATTCTCAGAGTATGTCTCAGAAGGCAGCCAAAAGGAGATGTCATTGATCAAAGGTGGATATCTGCTGAGTGGCTAAAAAAAAAAAAATTAAAAAACATACTGTTATACGTGGTTGGATTTGGTAAGTATACCTAAAATTGCTCTGAATTTGTATAACACACAGAGTACACATTTTAGAGGCTTTCTAAAATGCTTTTTGGCGTGCAAACTGACCTCATAAAGAACAGAGATGCAAGATTTTATACTAGGAAATATCTTTTAAAGACCCCCTCATAACCACTTTGATTTATTCATTCAGAAGGAAAAACTTGTTTTGTTTGCTAAAATCAGCATTTATAAGCCTGAATACACTTTGGTCAGAGCTGTTTCAAAGGATGAGATCATTTTAGGGTGATTATTCACTGGGTAGAATTGCAATTTGTAAAAGCATTTTTCAGACTTTTTACAGAGTCAAAAATTCTTATCACATTCATGTTTAAAATTTACATGTATTTTATATGATTCTTATATGACACAACATGTTGATTATTTATACTGTCCAATTTCTAAGAAAGTCTTATCAATAGGTACCTTGTTATTTAAAGCTTATACAAAGAAACATGCTTTGCCTTAAAAAGAGGGATCAGTCTACTTCGCATTAGTATAGTCATCCAAACATCTACAACAAGAAAGGTATTGCTGTTAGCGTAATTATTCATTCCACAAGTACCACAACAGGTTTTTAAACATAAAGGGGCATCTTTGCTGCAGATATAAAGACCTGATCTTGTGGGAAGACAGTGTTTTGCAAAAACAGGAAGAGAAACAAAATCAGGTAATTATTAATTTTCCAGTTTTGATGGAAATTCCTTGGACTCAGTGGGTTTCAGATCTCACCTTTAGTGAAATGTTTCTCCCTTGGAAGAATAGAAAATGGTAATGCTCTCCTTTCATGACCTCTAGGTCATACAGTGTCTTAGTTTTGTCTTCCATTAATATCCTGCAGTTGAAAAAAGTACTTTTGCACAAGATTGTTCAGGTCTGCAAGAAGAAACATCTTTTTTTTTTTTTAATTTCGCTTATATGTATTTGACATCCCATATGGACACTTTGGTCTATACAGTATATTATCTCACTCAAAAATGTATTCCATGCCTGGGAATGTTTTATGATGGAGTAGTGGAAACTTAAGCGAGTACCTGCTAAAGCAATAAACCTGTTAATAAGGCAAGTTTACAGCATGGTGATTTACTCAAATACTGTTCTGTAGAGTGTAAATGAGTCAATAAATATCTGATAAGGAACAGAGTGCAAGTTTTAAATTAATAACCCCTCCAGTGAATAAAACTGTGAATCACAAATGATTATCCAACTTGTTAAAGGAATAAAGTTGTCAAATGAATTCATATCCTGTACACCAAATTATAAAAAAAAAAATACCTGCACAATTGTCTCTGCTATACAAAAGTCACAGCTGCAAATGCTGGAGATGCTCCTCAGTCAACAAGCTGGTACATGTGTTAGCATAAATAAAGTTAAAATCCTGCAGTAGCCACCTATATTCCCACTTCAGCCCCATCTACAACTATATTTATCACTGCTCTATTTCAGGAACCTATTGAACACACCTCAAAGTTTGTGGGGACTAATCCAAAACTCACTGAACTCCCAGCTTCAAGACATTTAATTATTCAACCAGAAGATGTGGTTCATGAGCCTAAGCATGACTTGGTACCTACTTCCACTCACACAGGTATAAGGACACTAAAGAAAAATAATTACATGTTCAAGTAATTCAGTAATGCCCTAAACCCCAAAAGGAATAGAGCATCCATAAGTCATAGTGAATATTTGCTATTGATTTTAAAAGAATCAGGAATATGTCACGCACAGGAAGACAGCACTCTTTTTCCCACTTAAAATGAGATGTACACAAGGACCCAATATGGTCAGATCTTGCAAATGTAATTGGCACAGTTTGACTTACATTATCAGTGTCATCAAATTCCATGTGAGCAAAGTTGCTCAAAGATGTAATAAATTGTCGAGTCTGGCTTTTGTGGATTATCAACTGCATAGGAAAACTGCTTCTTCGACTCAATCCATGGTGTCACTAGCCTAGGTATGCTTGTGTGTATTACAAAGACTAGAAGGACAAATGCTTGAAACATAACATAAGCAAAACTTTTCTATTATTAGGTACTAACCTTTTCTCAGAGCCTTATAATGCAGAAAAATCTTTTACGGTAAAAGGCAAGGCAATTATTCCGTATTATACTGTCCCTTCACCACCTGGCTGCAGTCAATATCATTGCAGTGAGTATTATATCAACGCTAAAGTTAGTACCAGGATAAAATCCCTAGTTCTAAATGTATTGATCTGTTTGTTGTAGAGCTACATGAGCTACATAATAGTTTTTTAGCTACACCTAAAGTGCAAATAGGCTAGTAAAAGAGTCTCCAATTGGCAAGTCAAAATGAAGCTCCTAAGTTTGTATCCAGGCACCCCAGCAAACACATACTGTGGTCTAACTGATCCCTTGGCTGTTCTTTGATCCTTTCTAAACTCTCTTGCTCTTTAGCAACAGACTGGTCTAAAGCCCATTAATCCTTTTCCAAGATCAAGGCAAATGCCAGCCCTGGGGACCATTTCCTTATGAATTTACAGACACTTTAAATGCTCCCCTTGAGAAGAATGTCTTCTTCTACTAAATCTTCTACTCTGCTATCAACTCCAGCCACTACTTCCAGCTACATCCTCTTCATGGCTTAGAAGTTCTCCAGCACAATGCAGGGAGAAGCTAACAGGACACCACTTGTCTCTGTTCACCAGTTTGTGTGTTGGCCAAATTCTAGCACGCTATCCAAGCCTGGAAGTCCTGCTGTTCCTCCTTCCACTCCCTGACCATCCACCCCCCTTAGGTTTTTGGGGAACTGAAAAGAGGCTTAGGAAAAGGTAGAACTGATCACACCCACAGAGCATTGCTGTGAGGCACTGGCCAGGAGTGGCAGAGAGCATTGCCAATGCACAGACGGCTCTGAACCATTCCTTTTGGTTCTATCAGAGCTCTGCCACCACAGTGCTACTTTGAATGTTCTATTTACTTTCCATTTCAAACACTGCAGTGTACTGTCTTTGACATTTTTCAACAGCATTGAACAGTGTTTTCCCAGTAATTACACTACCCATAGGACTCCACTGAGCCCATGTTGTAGGAAATATTGCAAATAATGACATCACATTTTTAAATCATTAGGGGCGAAAGCATTTAGGAGTGCTGAATTACTATCATTTTTTAAAATTATAAAATAGGAGCTTATGATGATCCACCCTCAAGGATACATGTTTACTAGTCATTAGTCACACTTCCTTCTCTGGTTAATAAATAATCCTTGTACTTACTAAAACTGCAAGCTTTTCCCTCTAAGGATGCTAATTTTAGTAAAGAAATGAGTAGCTGGACACCAGTGATATACTCTGTTCTGCCAGCCAGCCTTGCGTATGCCTAAATGTACCTAAGGAGTGCACCACTGAAACACAGGGCTGTGACTCCTCTATATGGGTTTGTGATAGCTGAAAGCATTCCTTATCCCTAGCTCTCTGCTCTGCATTTCTGTTGGAGATTCCTGCCCCTGCAGCAGCTGATAAAAACATGTGCCTGTTTCTCCACTGTTGCAGTTCATGGCCTGCCATAGGCCAGCTGAAAATTGCCCCTCTTAGTGGTTTATGCTAATACATGCTGGATGTATTGCAGCAGCTTGAGACACTGGGGGACAGCTGTCTTAAGCAGCAACAAGATCCACTAGAACTCATTTGTCAGCACAAAATAGGAAAAATCCTCGGGCTCTGTGTACATTGCCACATCAGGGCGCTACTCTGGACACTTTGGCAGAAGGAATCAAGTTCAAGTGGTCACCACAAGAGCAGTCTCTGTTCACCTGCACTCAGCAAAGGAGTATCAGCTAGGCTGGATCCAGATACCTCACAGCTGCACAGGAGAGAAAATACAATATGTGGCAGAACCCCCTAGTCTGGAGGAAAACCAGCAGGGGATAATACACAGGCAGTGCCAGCAAATAACCTACAAAAGACCATGAAGTGTCTTTAGCCCAAAAAATAGGATGAACACCAGCCTTTTCCATAAATATTTGCCATTAAGAAAAAACCCCACACTTTTCCCCAGATGCAGTAACCATGAGTGCAATATGGAGAGGGGACAGGAGAAATTTCGTGCAGTGGACTCTCACTCAGTTCCTTCCCTGCTGCCGGCTGCAGATGGGGGAACACAACAAACAAATGACAAACACAGCAGAGGAAAAAGCTGTACTTGTATTTTGACAGCGGCAACACAAATGCAAGGTTAATGACAACACGTACCAAAAACTGGGTTAGCAACTCCACAGCAGGCAAGTTATTAAAAAGCCAGCCATGCTTTACTGCCATCACCAGTCTAAGTCAGAAAAATATGAGACTTAGCAGCCTTGTGGCTGTCAGGCTTTAACAGTCTTGCATTGCCCATGCTTTGGAGAAATATCTACATAAACAATACTGTTTTAATGCAACATCATATTCACATCAAAATGAAAGCTACAGTCCTATCATATGCCTTTCTTAATATATTCCATGGTGAAACTACATTAATACAGCATTATCATAGGAAATTTAAACACGTAACAGGCATGAAATTCAAATTTGCAAATTTACAACTGTAACTTATCCCCCTTGCACATAATGAAGTTTCCTGTATTAGTGTGTAAGCTTTTAGATTTATACTTCCGTATTTATGACCAGCGTAGACAAATTACAGTTGCTGCAGGGAACATAATTTTGAATTTCTTGGCTGCCATGGCTTAAAATTCACAGTCACAATGTTCCTTCCCTATTATAAGTTTTCTACCCCTCCCTTCATCAAATGAATTTTTTTCTGAGTATATATAGTAAGTTCTATATATTCATACATGTATACACACACACATACACATTTTTATGTGTAAACACACACACATCTTCAAAGAAGGAAGTGGAGAAATTTCAAAAGAGAACTTCCATAAAGTCTGATAAGCAAGTATAAAAATATGTTCTGAGATTAAGC